TATCTTTTAGGCTTTATATTAGAGTCATGAGTGCCTTGCCTACCACAATTACAGTATTAGATTATTCTCAACATTATCTTTTACTTAATTTTACCAGTCAGTTTTATACCTTCAAAGGTATTCTTTTTGTGTATTAATTTTTGTTTTCTCTCAGATTGAAAAAATACCTTTATCATTTCTTGTAAGACAGGTCTGGTGGTGGTGAATTCACTCAGCATTTCTTTGTCTGGAAAAGACTATCTGTCCTTTTCTGTCCTTTTTAAATAGCTTTGCTGGATACAGAATTCTTGAATGGTAGTTTTTTTTTCTTTCAGTACTTTGAAAATATCATCCTACTTTCTCCTGGACTGTATGGTTTCCCTTGAGATGTCTGTTGCCAGATGAATTGGAGCTCATTTTTATGTTATGTAGTTCTTTTCTCTTGCTGCGTTCTTAGAATCTTCTCTTTGTTTGACCTTTGAGAGTCTGATTATTATATGCCTTGTGGTAGTCTTATTTGGATCAGATCTGTTTGGTATTCTCTGACTTTCCTGTACCTGGGTATTTATATCATACTCACGTTTTGAAAGGTTTTTATTATTTCTTTTAATAAGTTTTCTACCCCTTTTCTTCCTCATCTGTCTCTTAAATGCCAATAACTTTTAGATTTGTCTTTTGAGGTAATTTTCTCTGTTTTTTAGGTGGTCTTTGTTCTTTTTCATTTTTTTTCTTTTTTCTCTTTGATGGTATTTTCAAATAGTCTGTTTTCAAGCTCACTTTTTTTCCTCTGTTTGATTCAACTAGCTGATGAGAGACACCAATAAATTTTTCAGTTCAGCAAATATATTTATCAGTCTCAAAATTTCTTTTTCATGATTTCAATTTATTTGTTAAATATCTTTGGTAAATTTTTGAATTGCTTTTCTGTGTTATCATGGATATCACTTTGTTCCTTAAAACTGTTATTCTGAATTCTTGTACAGGAGCTCACATATCATTGTCTCATTAGAGTCAGTCACTGGTTCCTAGTTTTGTCCATTTGGGGAGGCCATGGTTCCCTACTGTTGTTTCTTGTGGATATACATCTACGTATTTGTATGAAATAATTAGTTATTTACTCCAGTCTTCTCTCTGTGGCTTGTTTGGTTTTTTACTGATTATGTTTGCTTAGAGATTCTTTGTAATTTACCTGTTGAATATTTTTCTCCCCTACTAGGGAACTGCTTTTTTTTTTTTGGCACCAGACGGCATCTAAGCCCAGGTTTGCCTCTGTTGCTGCCTGTCCTGAATGAAGGTGGTCACAAAGAGAACAGTCCATCAGTGTGGGAAGGCTGGCTAGGGGACTGTACTCATAGGACCCGTAGGATATACGTCTTACATTGTTCTGCTGAACCAACACTCTGATCTGGTGTCTCTTTCAGCCAAGTTACATAGTAATTTCTAGATCTTGGAATGATAGTCCCACCTTTCCCCTTGGCCTCTGATTGTCTTCAGGAATATGTCTCCCTTTGTGATGCTTCCTATGGACTGAGGCAGAGACAGGTCTTCCGCCTTGTAACCCAAGATGGTGAGCAAGCTCATTCTCCAACTCAATCTCACATTTTCCAGTGTAGAAATCATGAGTCAGGTGTCAATTCTGTATTTGCTTGGTGCTGGACAGATTGGAAGGAGATACATCCTAGATATGAAGTCTGATTCTCTTACCATTTGTTCAGAATATTTTCACTTCTTTGCAGCTCCAGGAACTGACTAATCCTCATATGTGAGTTCTAGAATATCCCTAGTGATAATCTTGGCATTGTGTATTTCTTTTCTGTTTTCCATGTGGGGGAGTGAGGCCAGCTTGCTTCTACACTGCCATTTTGGAATCAGAAATTCTCTATAGCTATTTCATAATTAAAAGCACAGTTTAAAGAATTGCAATATTCTTTTTAACTCATGTAAAATAACAGAGCCTCAGAGATGAAAACCTATGATCTTTCCAGTGAGAAACAGAAGGATTAACTCAAATTTTATCTGAAGGCTAAGGAATGAGGTTGCATCCTGAATATTTCTAGCCATATTGGGAAGCCATAATGGCTCACATAATTTGAGAAATGTGGCTCTCTAGAATGTCTCTGAAGACAGCAACAATGCTATACTCCTCTGATGTGCCCTCAGGTTGCCTGTATTAGTTTGCTCAGGCTGCCGTAACTGAATATGACAGACTTTGTGGCCTAAATAACATACTTTTCCCCACAGTGAAAAAATTCCAAAATCAAGTTGTTGGCAGGTATGTAATTTACCTGTTGAATTTCTTTCTTTCTTTCTTTTTTCTTTGAAGTTTCTCTTCTTGGCTTGCATGTCACTGTCTGCTGGCCCATGACCTCTCGTGGCTTTTATTCTATGTACTCACATCTCTCGTGTCTCTTCTTCTTATAGGGACAACAGCTAAATTGAATTAGGACCCTACCCTTATAACCACACTTAACCTTAATTATCTCTTTAAAGGTCATGTCTCCAAAAGCAGTCACATTGGGGGGTAGGGATTCAACATATGAATTAGGAGTGACACAATGTAGTTCATGATAATGTCTGTGCTAGCCATAGTACAGGGAAATATGTCTCCTTTGTAATTCCCAACTCCAACACCTCAACATACTTCATTCATGAAGGATCAAAAATTTGTATCTCTACGGTAGCTATTAATGCATATTGCATGGAAAGGGATGTACAGTAATGGTGCAATTCGTCCTCTGTACGTACTTAACTAGAAAAACCTCTTTTCCAATTAGGGTTTCAACAGATACTTTCATTCTGAATTATAAATAATTCTATTATTATGCTACTTATATTATTATTCTGTTTTATTACTTTATTTTTAGCCATAGTAAGAAAGATCAGTCAGGCACAGGACACATATTTGCATGCAGCAAATGTGTTTTGATTGACATTGCTATGTGCTAGCTACAGCAAACACAGTCATAATTAAATGACATTCAATCCATGTATTCAAGATACTTACATTTTAATAGCTCTTAAATATCTATTAATATTTTTAAAGAGAAGAGAAAATGTAATTTTTTTTTATTTGAAAAAAGAGACTAAGGGGATAGAGGAGAATGGGGGTTGGTAACTAATTGGTTCAAAGTTTCTTTGGAGAAGGATGAAAGTTCTGTAGTTAAATAGCGGTGATGGTTTCACACTTCTGTGAAATAAAACGTTGAATTGTATACTTAGAAGGAGTTAATCTTACCGCATCTATATTATATTTCAACAACTATTATTGAAACAGAGAGTGACTAAAGAGATCCCCTATCTTGGTCTTCTCTTCATGGATGGTTTAAGCACTTCCAAACCACAACTAGAGGAATTTCTGTTTCCTCTGAATTTCACTACACTGGGTTGCTGAAGTTTATGAAAATACAATTGAAAGAGTGATGGTGCACTAGGGATTTATTCTATAGCTATTAGGGGACAATACTGTATAACAGTTAACTTAAATTTAAGAATTAGGATGCCTTATGTTAAAATTCTGGCTCTACCATTTGCTGGTTGTATAAAACATGGCAAGTTATTTAACCTCACACATTTATGCACAAAAAATTTAGGCTAAGTATACTTATTAGCCTCATTTCACATATGAAGAATCAGGCTTGATCAAGGTCACATGGCAACTGCCAGAAATGTTGACAGTGGAAAGAAATAAAATATAATCAGTAAGAGAATAATCTGCAATGAAATAAAATATGATTTAAAATCTTCAAATTTGGGTTCTATGACTTACTCTGTGACTTTTGGCAGGTTATTTAATGTCTTTAGTCTTCTGCTTTCTTACGTATAAGATGGTGTTTCAGGTATCTGTTGCTACATAACAATCCATCCCAAAACTTGAAGGCTTAAAATGTGTTATTATTGTCTTTCCTGCCTCTGCAGGATGAGCGGGCACAGCTGGGCAGTTTTCTTTTGGGGTCTCTTATGCTACTGCAGTTAGGTGCTGGCCGGGGCTGCAGTCATCTGAAGACTCACTTAGGCTGGATTTCCAAGATGGCTGGCAGCTGCTGGCTGTAGGCAGGAGAGTCAGCTAGAACTGTCAACTATGGCCACTTTGTGTGGCTTAGGTTCTTGAAGCATTATGACTGGGTTCCAAGAGGGAGCTTCTCAAACAGGAGTGTTCCCAGAGGTCCGAATGGAAGCAATAATGTTTCTTATAAACTAACTTTGGAAGTCCCTGAATGTTACTTCTGCTGTATTTAATTACCCAAGCAGGTTACTCAGGATAATCTAGATTTAATGGAAGGGGAATTATAAGCTACCTGGAATGCTTTGGTCAAGGAAGAGACTGAGGCGGATATTCAGGTCTGCATGACTCAGTGAGTTTGACACGCAGATGCACACCTTCATTTGTTATATAACCTGTTTGTGTAAGTTCATACTTGGCTCTGAGCCACTATGGTCTGTAAAGGTATAATTGCCCTGTTGACACTGTGCACAAGAGACATGGCTCTTGGGGCTCAGCTCGGCTCAACGTGGCTCTTCCGGCAGGTGCTGGTACCCAGAGAGAGAGGGTCAAAGAGAGCCAAAGAGGAGGGACCGAGGACACAGCTTGGCTTCCTAGTGCCCAGAGAAAGAGTTAAGCTGCTGACTCTGAAGGCAGGGGAGAGCCAGCCATGCAACTTCAGGCATGTGGGCAGCAGGAGCCTCAGAGCCAGAGCAAATAGCCAAGATAAAGGTGGACAGTGTAAGAGAAGTTGTTCATAAGAGAGCTATCTTTCACCTGCCTACAACACCCGCCACCCTGCTCTGCTCTCAAGTGGTCTTTCCAATCATCCACCCACTCCACTCCCCTCAGACTTCAGCATGGGCTGGACCCGGACACCGGGATCTGACAGGAATTAGATCCCATTTCTTCAGGTAACGATCTGTATGCACATACCAATAGAGAAGGACTTGGTAGTTACCATTTTGCAAATTAATAACCATAGTCTGCCCTTCCACTAGCCGCTGTAATCACATTCTCCCCATGTGCAAAATATACTCACCCTCTTTCCAAGAGCCTCAAAATCTCATCACGTTATGGCATTGGCTTGAAGTCCACAATCTCTCTGCTGAATCAGCCCCTCATACAGATGGGACTCCTCAGGTGAAATTCCACAATGCAGTTCCACAAATGCAGTTTGACTGAATCTGAAGACATACAAACCAAAAAGTTTTCTTTAGTTATCTGTCCCCTACACACCCAATATACAAAGGTGAGGTAAGCGTAGGGTAATGGCAAAATAACTCACATCCAAAAAGAGAAAGGATGAAAAAAAAAGCCCTGAATCGTCACTGGTCCACAATAGCTAACACCCTCCAAGGTTGACTTTGGTGACCCACTCACATGCTTACATAGCACCATAGGCTTTTTTTTTTTTTAATCTTAAAAATAATCAAATTACATACAATTGCTTCTTTTATCTAACCTGTCCGACATGTGGCAAGAGTTTGAAGAGCAAAGACTATTTTCTTGATCATTGTTCACCTAGTGTCTAGCACTTAACAGATGCTTAATCAATATTAACTGAGTTAATTAAGGCCTGAAATATGAACTGTATTGTGTTAGTGTATGATCTCGTTTCTGTCATTTAATTTCTTCATTGTTACATTTCCTCATCTGAAAAGTAAAAAGTTGAGATTAGACTCAAGAACTCTGGCTTGCTCTTGAGTCTTCTGTCACTTTTGCCTTGACATCCTGTGAACTCCAACTCCAAAACTACATTCTTCTCAGATGCCCCAACCAGTCAGTATTTATTCCAAAGAGCTCCACTCCCTGAAGGGTGCCAGCCGAAGGAAATAGAAATGTGAACATTTTCACAAAGTGATGGAAAATGAGGCTCAGGTGCACGCCGGACTGGGCCTAGTAGCCAAGGGCCAGCAGAAGACAATGGCACCCAAATAATGTTTGCCTTGCTCCTCAAGCATCTTACAAATTCATCCTAGGGCTAGAGGAAGGGTCTGAGGAACATAATCCAGATACATCGCAGTGCACATCAGCAGATGGCAGAGGTGTATGCTTACACTCACCATTGTCAGAATTCTCTGAAGTACCAGAGATTTCTGTACCTGGTTATCCTGTATTAGGATGGAAAACGTGGGCACAGTGTATCCTTTGAATTTCTCTGAGTTTTGATTTCTGATTTATTTATTTTATTATTATCATTTTTTGTGAGCCTTGCCTCTGAGTTCCTCTGCAATGGGTTGCTAAGAAGACAAGTGCCTACTTTTGGAGCCCTGGTTGTATTTATAATTCATTTCCTTTTTTTTTTTTTTTTTTTTGAGACAGAGTCTCACTCTGATGTGCAGTGGCACAATCTCGGTTCACTGCAACCTCTGTATCCCAGGTTCAAGCAATTCTCCTGCCTCAGCCTGTGAGTAGCTAGGACTACAGGCATGCCACCATGCCAAGCTAATTTTTATACTTTTAGTGGAAATACAAATACGTTGGACAGGCTGTTCTCGAACTCCTGACTTCCAGTGATCTGCCTGCTTAGGCCTCCCAAAGTGCTGGGATTACAGGTGTGAGCCACTGCATCTGGCCTCCTAACTATACATATATTTTAATGATCTTTCTCTATGTTTTATATCATTGTTTCACTTTCTTTCTTGGAACTATTAACTCACACAATAGAATCTGTAGGCTGTTCCCTCTTTCGTTCCTTTCATTTGTTCTTTGTCTATAAACTCCGGGGACATAGTTCTCAAATTTCAACTTACATCAGAATCACCTGGAAGGTTTATTAAAGTACAGCTTTCTGGGTCCCATCACCAGAGTTTCCAATTCTAGAGGTGGGTCTGAGAATTTGCATTTCTAAATATTCCCAACTGATGCTGTTGCTGCTTGCACAGGGACCACACTTTAAGAACCCAGTGCTTTAGGGTATGCACCAAAACCCAAGTTTAAAAGTGTTATTTTTTACTTGTGGAATGGAGTTTTCTTTTTCTTTTGTTGAGACAGAGTCTTGCTCTGTCGCCCATGCTGGAGTGCAGTGGCACGATCTTGGCTCACTACAACCTCCGCGTACCAAGTTCACGCCATTCTTCTGCCTCAGTCTCCTGAGTAGCTGGTACTACAGGTGCCCACCACCATGCCCAGCTAATTTTTTTTTTTAATAGTAGAGATGGGGCTTCACCTTGTTAGCCGGGATGGTCTTGATCTCCTGACCTCGTGGGTCCGCCCATCTTGGCCTCCCAAAGTGCTGGGATTACAGGCGTGAGCGACTGCACCAAGACAGAACTGAGTTCTTAACCTGTGGGGTCTGTACTAACCCCAGGTAGCTAATGCCCAACTTTTGAAAACAACTTACTTTTAACTATTAGGGATATATAATAATTGCACATATTTGTGAGGTGCATGTGGTATTTTGATACAAACATACAATGTGCACTAATAAAATTAGAATAATTGAGATATCTCTCACTTTAAGCATTTAGATTTCTTTGTGCTAAGAACATTCTAATTTCACTCTTACTTATTTTGAAATAGGCAATCAATTTTTTGTTAGCTATATTCACTCCACTGTGCTTCCTAACACTAGATCTTATGCTATATAATTGTATTTTTGTACCCATTTAACCCTTCCTCTTTATTTCTCCACCCCTACTACCCTTCCCAGACTTGGATAACCATCATACTACTCTCTATCTGCATTAGTTCAATTTTGGGGGGGTCCCACATATTAGTGAGAACAGGTAATATTTATCTTAATGAGCATGGCTTATTTTACTTAACATTATATTCTCCATTTTTATCTATCTCTTTGTAAATGACAGGATTATGTTCTTTTTTATGGCTGAATAATATTCCATTGTGTATACGTACCACATTTTCTTTATCCATTCATCCATTGGGGAGCGCTTAGGTTGATTACATATTTTGGCTGTTACGAATAGTGCTGCAAAAAACAATAAAAATGGGAGTGCAGATGTATCCATATACTGATTTCCTTTCTTTTGGGTATATACCCAGAAGTGGGATTGCTAGATCCTATGTAGTTCCATTTTCAGCTTTTTGAAGAACCTCCATAGTGTCCTCCATTGTGTCTGTACTAATTTACATTCCCACCAACAGTGTACAGAGGTTTGCTTTTCTCCATAAACTTGCCAGCATTTGCTATTGCCTGTTTTCTGGATGAAAGCCATTGTAACTGGGATGAGATGGTATCTCATTGTACTTTTCTGATGATTACTGATGTTGAGCATTTTTTTTTCATATACCTGTTAACCATTTCTATGTCTTCTTTTGAGAAAAGGCTATTCAGATCTTTGACCCATTTTTTAAATGGGATTATTTTGTTTAGTTGTTTTCTGTTGAGCTGTATGATTTCAGTTATTAACTGCTTGTCTGGCGGCTGGTTTGCGAGTATTTTCTCTTTCTTTTTGACTTTTCTTTTCACTCCGTTTGCTGCTGTTTCCTTTGCTGCACAGAAGCTGTCAGCGCTGTGTGATCCTGTGTGTCCATTTTTGCTTTGATTGTCTGTGCTTTTGAGATCTTAAGAAATCCTTGCCCAGACCAGTGTCCTGGAGTATTTCCTCAATGCTTTCCTTCCAGTAGTTTTACACTTTTGGCCCATAGATTTAAGCTTTTAATCCATTTTTAAGAGATTTTTGTATATGATGATATATATCTTTTTAATGGCAAACTATTTTATTGCTTCTCAAATATGATAATTTTTGCTAAGAGCACAGATTTTTTAAAGCCTCTTTTGATTTCTCATTTTGTGTGAAAAGTCAACCTGGTAGCCTAATTGCCGAAATTCCTGAATTATACAAAGTAACAGGATATCTGAAATAACATCTGAGATTAGCCGTGGTGAAGGAAAGTTCCATCCACTTTGAGTTGTTTCCTAGGAACTTTAATCCAAGGGTGGGAAAATCGTTCTTTCTCATTTTTTTTTCCTCTCCCCGTATAAGCATATACTCTGTGTTTCTCTCCCATAACGCCATCTAAAATATTTATAAACACATTAAGGTAACTAAATTTAGGGCATGAAAAAGAAATGTTTGTTCTACCAGGTAAAACTATTTCCCAGCGTTTCTATTCATCGATTGTCATCACTTCAATCTTAGACTTTGGTTAAGTAAACAAGCATTTTTTTTTAACCACTTAAAATGTAAGGATCTTCGACACTTTATTTAACCTCATTGAGCCTCAATTTATTCATTCATTAAGTGACAGTATTGGTACTTACCTTCTAATAGTTTATGAGGACTTAATCTATAAATACTATCTTCATTCCCCCATTGAGTCCTGAAATTCTGTTGACTGACATTTTTCTCTTTCTTCCTCGTTTGATCTGTTTTTAATATTTTATAAAAATAAAAACAAAAAAATGTGGAAAAAGGTGGTCATGCTTTACTATATTTAATGTTTTATATTGGAGTGGGGAACAATTTTTATAAATTCAGGGCCTCTGTTGATTCAACAATTTTTCATGCTATTAGTTTCTTGAGTTGACTTTAACTCATTCTCTAATTTTATGTATTAGCATTCAAATTAGGTGTGACTCCATGACAAACAAAAATTCCTATTTTCCTTTGTGTATCAATCAATTCCTTTTTCATTGTGTGTAGCTTTTCTCAATTGTTAACAAGACCTTGAGAGCAGGGCAGATTATGCTTAACTGATACCAGTTTACATGTTCCATTTTATCTTCTCTTGATTTGTGCTAAAAAGTATAGTTCAGGATTTCTAGGGCTTTGATGTAGAGAAAAAGCAATAAAACACATTTATTGAGCACTGTTAAGACAATGATACTCTGCTATGCATGACCTCCTTCTGTTTTTCACAACTGTTTGAGACAGGTATCTATTACCATTCTAGTGATGATGTAGAAAGTGAGGCACAAATACATTCCAGAGCCAGAATTTTTAATCCTGTCTGATCCCAAAGATCATAAGCTTAGTTATTACAAAGATTGGTATTTAAACTTAGAAAAGCTTGAGACTATTAATACAATTTCCAACTATTATGTAAGAGAGCAGTTCCAGAAGAATTGCATCATAGGTAAGTGGGATTTTTACCAACTGCTTCAAAAAATAGTATTGAAATATCTTTTTTATATTTGATATTTTAACTATTTTTATTCTTTCCTCAATTTTTGTCCATTCTCAACCAATAGGCTCCATGCTCTATACACACAATCAAAACTATCGTTAGAACAACTCTATATTATCAGCTACCACATATTAAAGTCTAACTTCTGCCACTACATTTCTACATATAAGGAGACCAAGAAAGAAGCCATGAGAATTTATATCCTTATATACCTTCTTAAAGCATTGCAATTAGATAGATCTCTATCCCCTGATGTGAAAGCAAACATGAGTAAGCAATCTATTTCATATGCTTGAGAAATTGTATTTGTGGCTATTAAGACAAACCACAATCTCTCTCCTCTTTCCCATGTCCAGAATTTCTCTTGCCTTTAATCTAAATATTCTAGAAAGAAAACAAACCCACCAGTTACTATTCAATCAGACTGCTACGATTTTTAGGAGGATGGCAGGGGCTAGCCATCAAAGGCATTGACAATTACCAGGGGAAAATTACACAGATCACTAAAAACAGAAGCAACAGAAGCTATTACACTGGGTAGCCACCTCTTTCCTATATATTCTATTTGACTGGCATTCTCCTATGATTAGTAAAATCTAATTTTTTTTTGAGAAAAGGACAAAAGTTGCAATCAGTTTGATTTTAAAGACTCAGATTTTAGGAAACACAAATAACATTTCATTGGAAAAAACCTACATTTTATTGACATAAAACCCTGGGATTGATAGTGAGATCAAAGGTAGGGAGGGAGAAAGTAAATGCAAAGTGGATGTCACTGATGCTGAAATTTGTGTATTCGGAGCAGGATGATGCATATGAGCCAAAGACGAGGGTCTTCAAAAGCAAACAGAAATAACTCAAAGCCCCCCTGATGGCTTCCCTCAATGTCCAACCAATTGCTTCTCTGGGGGAGTTATGCTGGTAAAGCAGCAACCACACATTCATTTCAGTGAGGTACTGTGACTGCTTTAACAAATTATCAAACTTGGTTGTACCCTAAGGCCCACTTCAAACAACAGAAATTTGCTATCTCAGCGGTGGAGGCCAGAAGTCTGAAATCAATGTATGGACAGCACTGTGCTCCCTCCAGAGGCTCTAGACGAGATTCTCTTCCTTGCCTTTTCCAACTTCTGGTGGCAGTGGGCATTCCTGGACTTGTGGTTGCTTCACCCCAGTGTCTGCATATATGATCATATGACCTTCTATTTTTTGTTTGTCTCAAAGCTCCTTCTTTCTCTCTCTTACATAGATACTTGTAATTGGATTTAGAGCTCACCTAGATAATCCAGGGTGATCTCATAACTCATAACACTCATATCTGCAGAGACTCTTTTTCCAAATAAGATAACATTAATAGGTTCTAGAGATTTGACATGGACGTATGTTTTAGGAAGCAACAATTCAACCAATGATAACATGCTTGCATATTCCTTACAAACAGTCTTGGAAGAAGTGAAACTCTCTTTTTCTGGTGATGATTGTATGTCCCTCAAATGAGTCTGAGTTTGGTCTTCCCTTAGTGCAAGCATGGGGAAGAAAGGGGAGGAATAGAAAGGAATGCAGCTGTATTTTTAAAAGACTGGACCCTTACTGCGCCCCGTCTCAAATAAAATACGGGCTCTTTGAAAACAATGGTTTAAGGATACATACTTAATACAACGATAATATCAACCGAAATATATGAAAAAAATTCTACCACCAAAAGCTATTTTCTTACAAGAAGGTGGATATTTAGAGAAACAGTACCCTCTCTTTCAGGTTATCAGGGATCTACTGAGTGTTTATAATAAATAGTCTCAAGTTTGAGCAACCTAGAAGAAAAATGTGTAGTCCAGGATCTTGAGGAAATCACATCCTTGAACAGCTGGCTTGATGTGCTATTGAAATGTTATTGTCTATCTTTCTGCAATGGGCATACTATATCACCAATAGAAATTTTAGAAGCTTAGTCAATTTCCCAACAATAGAAGTGAAGAACTAATTTTTGGTGACCAAAGAGTTGCTTCTCTATTCTTATCTAACACAATACGTCTCATTTGCTTTCTTAAAGCATATGACTAACGACTTTAGGAGTTACAAATACTAATTACAATTAGACTCACAAATTGAGTTTTTAAAAATCTAATTATAAATTATGAAACAGACTTTATAAAAGTTATGTTTCTTGGCAAACTGAGAGTAGATAAATGGGCATAAGATTTTAACTCTTGTAATCTACATTACACCTACGAGGACGTAGAAAAAGATCAAATAAAAATAGTAACAAGACAAAAACACCTCAGGCCGCTTCAAAACCTTACTGAATATCTTGAACCTTATTTTTTTTCATCACCCATGTATGTATACACTGAGACAAGTAATCAGCAATAAAAAAGGCACATGATAAAGCTTTGTTCCAGTGTAGTTATTTATTTAGTTTTTTTTTTTTTTTTTACTCTACAGTTGTCTTTCCTTTTAATTCAGGATTAATATCATCACAGAGTACCTTCTTTATTTTGTATTCATTCCGTAACCTTCATCTGTATGCCTCTTTAAAGACAAAACTAACTTTCAAAAGCAATTTGCTTCACTGGAGGGAATAATATAGTGCATATTGATGTGTAAGATTTCCATCTTTAACTCTAAGGAGTTAACAATTCAAAGACAACAACAAATACTCATCTCTTTCCTCCTTCCTCCTCTCTCCCTTCTCTCGTCTCCTCTGCTCCCTCTTATCCATCCTCTTTTTTTCCTCACGCTTTGTGGTTCCTACTTCCCTGGCTCTCTGTTCCCTGCTTCCAAATGAGAACCCAGCTGTCAGCACTGTGCTGCAATGCGAGGGATGTCAAGGACGTTCTGCTAGGCAATGCACAGGACCATTGATCATTGT